CGGTTGAATTTAAATATGTATTAGAAAGACAATAAGGTTGTTACAACAAGTGCATCAACGGGAGTTTCGAATTTGGACGGGGTACTCGAGAAGAAAGCAGATGAACTGAAATTCAGAATACCCAGTGTAACTGCCGTCATTTCAAATGTTCTAATCACATCAAAAATCAATCGAAGGTAAAGTGTAGAGAGTTCAATTTAGGGACAAATTTCGAACTCGTGATACCTGAACCGTTGTCCTGGTGTGTGATGGTTGAAGTACGCACAGATAACGGATTACCAATCACGGATTAGGAATCACGGATGCCACAGAAGCACTCAATCACACTGGCACTTGCAAGATGGTATCCAACGTAACTGAGAAACAAGGAAAAGACAGCAGAAGTAGCGGTTCGTTCATTGGAAGAAACCAAGCAGGTTAAATAACATGTACAAAAGAAGTCTATTGGTTATCCAGGCATCTACCAATCACATGCTCGTGTTACTGGCGTCGTACAGCTTCTGTCTGGGCTGCACGGCTTCTGATTGGTAGGCAAAATCGGCCTATGGTTCGTTGTCCAGAAGATGTAACGCGTAGGCGCTTTGCTGGAGGCATCCCATAAGCTAGGAACACTACATGGTGCTAGCGGCCGAAATTACGCGACCAAGTCCAGGCGATATTGCACCAAAGAAATGCAGCCTATAACAGTTCACCGCCCACATTTAAAAGGATAATGTTTACCCCTTAAAATATTTTCTGTTATTAAGTCGGGTGGCAAAAAGAGTTAGCAATGGTCAATTATACATTCCAATCTCATCGCTTGTAAAAAGCCGTATGCTAGTAACCTGATGCAAAATCAAGCCTCAAGTTGTTGGCTTTACTGGCTCACGTCCTGCCTCGTGTCCAAGGCGTGGAGTTGGCATTGTCACTACTAACTCCACTAACAGTTTACGTCAATCTATCTTCCAAAAAACGCATTCATTATTAAACGCAAACCCGGATATCTAAGCAGCTACCGATCAGTTATTCAGTCATACATTTACATCTCCCCCACTCCTGCATTTTGCGTTGCTTTACTAAACTTAAAACCTCTATCCAATTCGTTAGAACAGGGAGAAGACAAATACTGTGAGATGTGAACGTTTCCTTCAATTTCTCCGGTCACCACAGCGTACAACAATCTGGTATTTATACAAGAAAGTTTTGAAAACAACAATGGTTAAACGGACAACTGCCAGAGGAACCGCAGAGTAGGGGTGGGGTTTTTTCGAGCCATTTTGTTACCCGGGTTGTAACTGGATAAACTTCGTTTAGAAAGACTTTATAATCTTCCCTTTTAGGTTAGTCTCTAAACTTGATCTATTTTTTGGAAGCAACCTGGACGGGTTTTACGTTTCCTGTCGTTCTCCCACTGAATCTTCTGATCACGTTACTCTTCAGATTTACCCCGAAGTTTTCAGTTTCTGCTTTCTACTCTTAGGCAAAATCATCAGCCTTGAGAGAAAAAAAATTACCACGGAAATCTAATGAGGCTCAGAAATATAATTGTTATTATAGACTTTTATGCCTTTTCCGATCCGGACCTAACCACTTCCCGTCTGCACTTGAGCGACTATGTAAACTTCTGTTTCGATATATGCTGTGAACAGGAAACGCTTTACAGCCAATGTGATCTTTTCTCTTCTCCTGTTCTGAAGCGTTTGTGTCGAATAAAGGGAGGTGTGTTTGAACCTAATGAATGTCAACTGGTCGGATCGTGATAAAAGTCCACCAGAATTGAAATTCGCTGCCTGAACAGGGAAATTTTGTCCAGTCATTCATAAACTACGCATTATTAAATATATATATATATAGTGGTCAACGCTAGGTTTACTCCAAAGCTGCAATTAACCCATTTTATATCGTATTCTTCTGTGTGCGGTTGATCTCATCTAAATGTGTAAAAAGCTCCACTCTTTTATCCTCGTCCCTTATGAATGTTGGGTCAGATGGATTATAGCCTATTGTAGCAAAAGAATGCACCAGAAGCTTGTCATCTGTTCTCATCTGTTCTCGATGCTCAACACCTGATTCTTGGATAACAGCTGGCAGCATACGGCTTCGTAAGAGAAGCTCCACAAAATTCGTCCTATGGTCTGTATTCTGACCATGTGAAAAGAAAATTTCATACAAATTATTCTTCCTTTCACCCCAATTAAACCTGGGTGTTAGAAATCCTAGTACCTATTATAATGAACGGTCCACCCTCGGTTATTTAGCTTAATCACTGCATTTCATTTTATCCTCTTTCAAAGTTGCAAAACTCTACTTTTCAAACTAGAGCGATGCCTTTCGAAGTGCTGAAGGAGACCAGCTTCATTCTTTCCCTGTATACCATGGTGCCTCTCCGCCTATCATAGTCCTCCTAAAAGAATACTTTTCTGGACTAAACCAGTCAACAACCTACCGGGGACGAGCCTCCTCTGTCTCGAACGCCAGATTGAAGGTTCTTTGGGGGTATCATTTTACCTCCTGTCCTCTCTTTTGCATACTGAGTCTCTATGCCTGCTTGCAGTGTTTGTATGCTGATCAAGTTTGTTGACGACGCTATTGGGCTCATTGTTTCTCGAGCAGATTAGCATCTTTGCCATTCAAATCGGTATCTCACAACTTACTGGAAGTTCTTCTACACACAACATTGAGTTCAACTCATTTACATGTGCTGCTATGTTATCTAACCATAGGGGCAAATCATACTCTAATTCTCTCATCCACAATTCTTTACGATTCTCCCCCTGACTAAGGTTAATCAGTTGAACATTTGGGCGATATTCCTAACCATCACTTTAATCCAGTTTGAACACATCAATATTGATTTTTCGAAAATCAGAAGGCTTCCATTTTAGGCCCACTGTCTAAATCCACTTTTCCGTCCCTTACACTTGATAAAACAGTTTATAAATGCCTAAATTTTTATCATGCCTGCCCTATGCCTCGCCAGTAATTTTAGATAGTCTACTAAACAAGGATATCCGCGACATATCCAAACCACTCAGATATTTATCCATGTGTTGTCGCATAAGTCACCACATTGTCTCGCAACACATTAAAGCCGCCTCATAAGGAACTATCTAAACCCTGTCACTCTCGGCATTACCTAAATGCACATCTATCTGTTCCACCCATCCCAGACACAAACACCTTCAAGCACGTACAGAAGCATGCAACTGCTTCAAAGTAACTTATCTCACTTGTGTTTATGTCGCCTGGACCGTATTTTTCTTAATTTGTCGACAATATTGAGTTAGCTCCGAACCTGTGATCTAGTTCATGCTCTCTCTCTATTTTCTATATGTTGGGCACTCAGTAGTGGAATGAAGCAATTTTTTGACTTGACTTGGTTTGATACATGTATCCCAGCTGAGGGTGCGATACAGCCCCCCACCCCTGAGACTCAGACGGTTTTCTAAAGGTCAGGACGAAAGTAATCAAGCATCGTGATTGGTTGAAATCGTTGCTTGATGTGAGTAGTTTTTCGCTTATTGGACATCTTATTTTGGTAAACAACTGATTGCCAAACACGTACCACGTATCCCCGGCTGCGTATTTCAAATAATCAGATCAGTAGTGCGGTGAGTAGCGACGGGTGCTGTCACCGGACAAAATTACCGCTTTCATGATAAATTCGTCTTGCATACGAAGTGTTAGCTAAAATGCTAGGAAGCTTTCGACAGTTTTTTACACCTATTTGGTTTTCATCAGCAGCGCGGATCCATGGATCCAAGCGGGGATCGAATCGTCGAGGTTAGTGTTGAGACGCTCGAGGTGTGATGCCCACACTACGCTCGCAAAGATGAGTTGCGCTATATGGTATGAAGACAAAACGCAAAACGGTGGTCGAGTTGGTAGTTGGTTTGCGCTCTACCTGTGAGGCTCCGGGTTGTATCCTCAGACCGAAACGGGTCTAAACGGCTGTCTAAAGCTTTCTTTTCAGCTCAGGTTTGATTTACGCGACAAATTCGTCACAATTAAACCAGAACCTCCACTACTCTCATGTGAAATTACTGCGACATGTCAGGTGGATGTGATTAAATCGTGGAGTGCTTCTGCATGGGATGCTTTTCGTGCATTCACTCTGCATAGGTGGTGGTCACCGTTATGTATGTAGTTGTGTATCTGCAGTTGGGTCTTTAAAATGACTTGATGCCAAGGGGCGATATTATCCACACGCATAACGCGGCTCGAACCCCTCAGAAAACTTATGCATACTGCCCCTGCTCTGGTGTACGCTTCGCGGACTATACAACAGTTTCTGAAGTGAGCGGTCACTGGGACCAAGTGATTGACCAAACGGCTCGAGCTGTGCGCATCTTTTTGCGGCATAGATGGACAAATCCGATGTACACGTTAGGCACATACAAGCTAACTTTGTGCAACCGATTCGGTCAGTCAGGCACGGACGCACTGTGCACGTGATGCCTAAGGACAAGCTAACGTGCACATGGTCCAATGTGTATCCGCGTGCCAGCGACATGTGTGCGCCAGTGCGCGGCTTACAATGTGGTACGTGTGCGTGTGTGTATGTGTCTGTCCGTGTGACTGAAGGCCCGTAGTCATCGGTCTTGGCATAACACAGCAACGGAGAGCGTGGTGTGGACAGCTACGCACCCAGGCTTACGCACACACGCACAAATAGGCGTGTGGCATTCCTTTCGTGCGTACATCGTCACAGCAGCGTTGTTGAATCATTAGGCTACGATGTGATTGGCCTAAACATTCGAGCCAATCACAGGTGACGAAAAGCAAAACTACACGTGGGCGTGGTTTTCATTTTGTTTGGGTTGTACACGCATGCGCTTGTGTCCAATGGTACGTAGAAGCTGGTGCCTTGCCTACAACGTTGTATATTGTGTTTTATTTTCTCCCGCATGGGCTTTATGATGCGTTCCGTGCATGTTCTATAACATATCCAACTTCGCTCTGGATTTATCCATCGAATATTATACTCATTCTCCGAGCACGCCCGTACAAGTTCTATTACCATGTCTGCCTATAGTCCTTACAACCCCATGCATTCCACGGCTATGAACGGAAATAGCAACGGTTACAGTTACAATGGAGCAGAGACATTGAATCGCATGGTCGTTGATGGGAACTACATAGATGGATCATGGGAATTGGCTGTATTTGTCGAGGATCTTGGAACTGACGTTCGGGTCCGTGTGTTGGGGGACCTAACTCTGGGTGGACTAATGCATCGTATTGTGGAATGTGCTGGTGTTAAACAAAGTTGGTCAGACCATGCACTATGGTGGGTAGATCGAAAAATGTGGCTTCTACACAACCGAAGCACATTGGATCAATATGGAGTACAATCAGATGCCCGACTCATGTTTCGTCGTATGCACGGGGATTTGCAAGTTGTGTTACCATCCCTCATTACTGTGGTTCTTCGTGTCAACTATGCAGCTCGTGTGTTCAGTGTGGTCCGTAGCATCTGTAAGGAACTGAATATTCGACATCCAGAGGAATTATCTCTTTCCTTGCCAATCACAAAGGCGCATTTGAAAAGTAATCGACCTCTTCCGACTCTGCGGCACGCCACAAAACATCATCCGAATTCTGTTGATGGGCGCACAGAGAAAGCCACGTTACGTTCCAAACTGACTGGTACAATGTCTGCTGGCCAGGGTTTTGCCAGCACTGTGGATGGTGTCCCTCATAGTCCATATGGGACGTTGCATTCTGCAGCTGGGACGATGATGCGTTTGCAGTCAGAGAATTCCCTGGACCGCGAACGACTCGATGCGACCCATTTCGCTGATTGTGCATTTAGACGTTCGGCTAAAACGGTGTTTACTGATAATTGGTTGATGAAACCGAAAAACTTGATTCAGAAAGCTCGCTTGAATAGCGGTTGGCTTGACTCTTCCCGTTCCCTTCTCGAACATGGCATTGAACCACCTTCTGCAAACCATTCCGTGGAAGAAAGTGAAGCCTTACCCACGGTCTATTTAAATTTCAAATTCTATGCATTTTATGATTTGAATTTGAAGTATGACTCGGTTCGAATTCATCAATTGTACGAGCAAGCACGTTGGTCGATTTTATCCGGACAGTTGGATTGCACTGAAGATGAAATGGTTGTTTTTGCGGCTTATCAACTTCAAGCCGAATTACAGTCAGCTGCTGCAAGCCAAACAGTTTACCAATTAGGGTACACAGACCCAGGTACATCGAATCATTATCCTACTTTGGGTGCACCCAGTACTGTTGGGGCTAGTTGGGCCTCCAATCCAGCGTCACCCGGGTTGAGGCCTAGTCCAGACCCAATGGGACGCCAGTACTTATCTCCTTCAGCCACTTATTACAATAGCAGTGGTCCTGCGAGTGCATCACTCATGCGACTACCCGGTACAACTTCACCTATGCCCGGTGCTAGTCTGATGGACGGGGTTTCTAATCGACACGGATCCGATACCAGTGGGATGGACGAGGTGGATGAGCTGTTAGCCGAGTTGGAACAATCCTGTGGAGTAGCCGATGAAGTGGGCTCTACAGCACGCACACTGCACACACACAACACGTCAACTCTAGCCACTGGTGGGACTTTACGATCTGTGGCACGCTCGGGTCCAGTGGATGTGTCAGATACCGCAGAGATTCCATCACTTCAGGAGAGCCTTCGTGTTTATCGAGATCGTACACTGCTGATACGACGCTACAAAGTGTTATGGGTTGTGATCGTGGAGGCCCGTTTATACCTATATAAAAGTCACACGGATACGGAATTCCCTTTAGCTGTCTATTCATTACGGGATTGTAATATCACACCAGACGTGAGCACAGCCATGCAGAAGTATATTCTCAAGCTATCCTTATTTGTAGAGCCGAGTCGGGAGAACGGAAGCCGCACAAACGGGATGCATTCACCTTACCCACTTTCAACGGCCCCCGCACGTGATCAATCAGCACAAAGAGAAGAGGTTTGGCTTCGATTTGATACTGCTGAGCAATATGCTCGTTGGTTGGCCGCTTGTACTCTGGGATCTAAAGGTAAAACTCTGGCCAGTAGAGTAGCTTACGAGAAGGAAATGGAAACCATTCTGGAGATTTTGCGCCTTCAAGTTCCCGGTCCAACTCCGGTTATTTCCACCGCAGAATCTGTGAAATACTTGGGAGATTTGAGTAACTTTTGTGCGGAACGTATTATCCGTAAAGCAAAATCCAAGGAGTATCTCCGACAAAGAATCACTGAAGCCCATGTAAACATTCGTGATGTCCCCTTATTGGAATCTAAATTCAAATACATTCAAGCCTGGCAAAGATTGACTCATTTCGGTCGGAGCTATTTCACTGTCCAGTTCGATCGAGGTTCCAACCTTGGTCTACCTAGTGGTTCCGGTGGATTGTTCAGTACACCCGTGGATGATGTAGTCGCCATATGCCAGGGCCGTTTCGAAATTGTATCCCCACATTCTGGTGAAGTACTACGGGCATGGAATTTTACGGACTTGCGGTCGTGGAACGTGAATTGGGATGCGGGAAAAGTGTTGCTTGATTTTCGCAGTGAACAAATTTCCTTCCGACCGTTGTGTACAAATTGCAAAACTATCGTGGAATTCATTGGTGGCTATGTGTTCCTTAGTCAGCGCACCCCGGAAAAGAGTCAAGAATGCAATGAGCGTCAATTCCATCGTCTTACTGGAGCAACAGATTAATTGAAATCAAATCATCGAATCATTTTTGTTTCCATCAAGTTTTACTCGGGTGCCGGTGGCATGAAAATCTTTGTGCTTACGCAACTGTGTGCTGGGGATGTCCTACCTAAGTGACCGCCTTGTTGTTACTCTGACCAGTGTATACACCACTGATGATTATTGACCGTTACCAGACACTTGGCAAGTGACTCCTTCTCTGTCTCTCACCGTGGTGCCGCTCTTAGACCGCACTAGATATACGTGTGGTCAACCAATAAATTCACACACTCAATCAGACATCAGTCAATCGATTTCTTAATCGTTCTGCCTTCCGGATTTTAAAGGAACTATTTCAATACAAAAAAAACGTGAGTGTGCATTCGTGCGAGACTTTCATACTGACAGATTTCAGTGTTTTCTCCTGTTCATAACAACGAATATGAGACCTTTCAGTCGTCCATGTGTCTTTCAGAAACAAGCAAATCAACAGCTAGCTAGCTTTGTTGTCTTCTATGCTTTTTTCGGTTTCTTCTCAATAGTGCTTCTTTCACATTCGATCGTGCCGCGTTCTGCTTTTCATTCATTCACTCCACCGATCCCCATTTCCACATGTCCTGTTCGTTCGCTTACTGGCATTCACTTGGTCGACTTTGCGGATGGAGTGGGGGTGAGGATCGTATTGTTTACAGTCTCATGCGTGCTCCTTTCGTCTTGTTCAACTAGCAAAACGATAGAATAATGGAGTTTGTAATCTTTTCACACAGACACCTGTTCCCAACTCTGCCTTCCCCTCCCCCCCGCCAGAGCTAACCGGTCCTCTGTGCATATTCGCAGTTAACTTTTTTTCATTTTGAGGACCGAAACGTTTGGAGATACCGATGCAAATTATCTTCGTACCCACGTTCATGTATACCCACGTGAAAATCCACACACACACAGATACTTATACTCATCCGAAGCATGTGTGTACGCGTACAACTGACTTTACGATTCAACTTGTTCGGTGAAATGGTTTTTATCTCGTTCCCATATTTCATTGTTTTTCTTTTTGTACCATACTATTTGCTTGATGATCACTATTGCTACTTTCAATGAGGATTCTACTGCTACTGATGATAATGATGATGCTGACGACGGCAGTTGCGTCATTGGGGATGATAACAGAAGAAGAATCAAAATTACTTCGTACCCTGTTTTTTTAATTGTACGTTCAAACTGGTTGGTTCTATAGCGAGCGCATTACTTACGAAGGAGTGTAATTGGCATTGAAAATTAGAACGTGCATGATGGAAAGAGGGGCTTTGAGAACTGATTGATGTTGAGTGAATAAAGGTTGGCGTTTCTTTAGTGGATCCTTGCCGACTACAAGGAGTTTACACTGAAGAGCGCAAGTATAACTTCTGTTACTTTCAAAATCCTTCCAGATGACTGCACATCGATTACTTGTTGTGGTGTTTCGGTACTTTAAAATGAGCTGTGATTGATTGATTTACCAACATATATATTTGTGTGGTACCATAGGAAAAGGATTTACGGGGTACACCGAAGGTTTACACTGTACGGGTTAGGATGGAACCCGCAATAAATGATATCTTTGACAAGCGGTCGATCATACTCAGAACTTATGAGATGTTGCCTACATGTGGATTGATTCGAAGATTACGGCCATTGATGATTGATGCTTGTGAGATAGGGTTTTGGGTTTTTACCGACAAACCGTGTCATCCATTTGACACGGGCGGGTCGAATGCTGTTTCTGCAGTCGTCCGTCTTACCTACACATGTTCACTTTTCCTGTTTCTGTATGAGGTAAAACAATCCGAGGTCAAAAAAGATGACGTGAAGATGAGGCATTGGGAACTGCATTGGTATATAGAGACTAACCGACAAGAAGGTAAGGGGAAAATAAGGCGAATGAAGCGATAAAAAGGATGTCAGTGGACTACCAGCCGTCGTTCGGGTGTATGTTTACGCACAGCGGGACTGCAAGCGCGGCAGATCACAGATTATTCTGTCGCCCTTCAGCCTTGTCGAATAATGCTTCATCTAACTTGATCTAAGCTAAGCACTGGGTGATGGCAGATGATGTGTGCGTTCAGCACTGATTTAGAGCGGAACCGGTGCTTGTTCTCAGGCGATAAATATATCTGTCGAGTTTCTATCATCGACGAAATTATGAGGTATGAAAAACGTCATTATCAGACCTTATTTGTCAAGGCGTATCGTGCCTCCGAAATTGTGAAGAAACTTTTGTACTTTTATGTCAGAATGAAGCCCTAGGATTGATGTAAATCTACGGGCAAGGTCGCCCATTATCTCACTCAGGTACTAATGCTGCTTTACGTATCTGCGCCTAAGTTCGCTTACGGACGATACGAGAACGACAAAATTCGGTAAGTAAAACAGTAGTCCGTGATTTATTCTGTACAGTAGTTCAAACCCCTGTCCTTGACTCATGTAGTGTGAAAGGGGATGATTACCCGTGCGAATGGCGTACATCCACTAAACTACGGCAGTTTAATCTGGCCTAGGCGAACAAAAACTGATGCCATATCTCGTAAGTCGAGCTGAATGAAATACAAGTCTTGTAGTCAAGATAGTGAAGTAACCAGGGCAGAATCACAAGACAACTTTACTTCGCCATGGTAGTAACGAAAAAAGGAGTATGAGGCAACAATCCGGTGGTGGATCAATGACTGCATGAAACAAGTTTGCATTGCATCACTGGTTGGACAAATATCCCGATGTTGAACCTCATCAAGAAGAGATGAAGCAGAGGACGAGATCTCAACCCAAAACATGACTCAGGATTGATTGAAGAGAAGCTTATATGAGCTTTGTATAAGAAGAGAATTTGGAACGGTGTTTGGGAACGTCTTGTACAAAAAAATATCAGTTGTTTTGGACACGCGTGAGACAGTGGCTATCACATTTGTGGTCAGTGAGTCAAATAGGAAAATTAAAGAAATGTGGAAATGTAGGACTGAGAAAAAGTCTTCAAAATCTATTGCGGGGACAATAGAGGCCACGGTTAAGGTGGCGAGAGGGTGAAAACCGAAGGCAAGCTGGTTGCTTTAGTGTTGAATGGTACGGTGTTACATCACTAGCCATTGTTTTGTCGTGATCGAAGTTTATCGATGTATACGGGTCGGATCGATCAAACGAGATGTTTGAGGGATTGCGAGAATCTAAACAAGTCTAATAACAATGAAGATTGCCTTAGCTGACGGAAACATAGCAAGGTTTGTGAACGGAAGACGNGGAAGACGAAAGGTCATTGTTGAAAAGGGCATAACCACAATGGGGCCCATTCGGTCTTTTGACTCGTGCCTATGACAACCTCGTCAACCGGGATCGTGATTAACCGATCGCTGAGGAAACCACTAATCGTCTATTCTGCAGTTCCGGCGGGAAATTCAACATGGACAGTTTCGTCACTTGATTGCAGTCGTTCGAGGTACCCCGGTTTTCAGTCGAATAGATTCACCGTGGTTAATCGCCGCAGAGTACCGGATGTATAAGACAGCTATCAGTAGATCGCCAGTGGACCTGTGGTTGCGAAATCCGTAATCACGTTTGTATGGTGTTTCTGGTGCACTACTCGTTATAGTAATGGTTTGATCTGGGCACAGATCCAGGTGGGTTGGAGTGAAACAGAAGTGAAGGATGTGGTAAGTGAATTTTATAGTTTCGAGTGGGGTGGGGGTGGGGGGAGCAATTGTGCCAAGAGGATGGCGAGTGAACAATTATTTGCATCAGGATGGTCAACACATCGGGTGATAGGCGGTTAGGTGGTTTGGCACAGAACCTCACTGCGCGTGATTGTCTTTGGATTGTATGTGTGCAAGGGCAGAAACGTGCGTAAATACCCGCATAAGTTTGAATGAAAAAACGGCAACAACAAAGGAAGACTTGTCAGTAAAAGGTGAGTTCTTCACAATGATGGACGGCTGCAACCAGATTCGCGTTCTATGGGTTATAGGAAATAGGATACAAGCACAAGAACAGGATAAAAGCTGTCAACAAACCCCAAAGCTCTGGTTAAAGATAATACGACTCAGACAGTGAATACCCGTATTTTGTTTGGTTGAGCGCAGAAAACCACCATCCCAGAAACGCACCTCATGACGCAAATTAGAGCTTAGTGGAATGTGCAGTACAGAACACAGACCGGGGGTTTTAGTGATTCACTGGGCCATTTTCCGACCATTGTGTCTGCTTGTCTGCCGAGATTTGTACCCTTCAACTGGTTTCCAGCGAAAGATTTGTGTTCGTGTGGCTACAAACGTGGCTTGGGGCGCAAGAAAAAAGAAAACGCTGTGGTCAAAACAACCGAGCTGGGAATCATCAACTTAAAAGTAATCCCCAATTGGAATCAGTGGAGCAACATACTAAGTTAATCATGACTGCCCTGAATGAACTGGTCAAATGGCAGGAGAGAACAATAGCAGCGACAATAACCAGCATAAAAACTGGGTAATAAGAACTGAAATTTTGGATTTGTAAGGAAGGAACAGTCTTATAGTTTTGCAACAGATGAAGATCAAGACTCCTCTCTGGAGGGAATGGACAACTCAAACGAATCCATGGATAGAACAGAGTTGCACCTGAAGTGAATCATAACTTTTCAAACAGAGCACTATTGCTCCGTTCAATTGTAAACGAACTTAAACGACTACCGATAACTATCCCTTGTACAGTTGTTTTTTTGGGACTCGTCAGCGGTGCGTACTACATTTGCTGTATGTCCCTGTCGGGATTCGGAAGCAAACCTTTGGATGAGTGAATGTGTTCGTGTTCCTTCTTTCAAAATACCGTAAAATTCTACATTTAGCAGTGGTTGTGACCTTGCGTGGATTATCGAAGTTATCAAAGTTTCAACTATTTTTAGATTCTACCTAATGCAAACACATATGTGGTGCCAGATTCGCTGGGCGGTAACTACGAAAACCGTTAACACATGAATTTTCGAGCACTGTAGAATATATTACACCATGTGACGTCGTCTCTACCACAAACAA